TTGAAGGCAGCAGAGGTGTGTGTGGGGGGCTCAGCTGTTTATCACGGCTGTGAAGAGTTGTTGAATTTGGCAACGGTAAGGACACACACACACACACACACTCACACACACACTGACACACACACACATTAACAAACAGAGCACAGGCATGCTCAAGATTATCTGAGAACATCAAGTCTCGCTCTTTCTAAAATCATCCTTCCTCCTGTATCACCCTGCCCTCCCATCTCTCTACGTGTCTCTGTGGGCTGAAGGGTCTGAGTTGTGTCATTTCCTGTCGTAATCACACAGCAGTGACATTGTGGGCTCATTGAAATGCAATGAGACAATCCCACCTCGGCCACAAATGTATCTGTGTGCCCTGCATCCAAACAGCATCATCTGCCAGCACACGCACAATCACCAACATACGGCCGTGAATTCGGGAAATGACACTAAAATACATAAAATCTCAGTGACCTTATCTGTCACATCGGTGTGCCGTGCATCAAAAACAAAACAGTGAGACACTTCCTGCGAGATGGGGGTGTGGCTGTTTGTCAGTCACAGAGATTATATCATTTGTCAGGACAGTGCAGGAAGTTGCATCCAATAAAAATGAGCTCCTGCGAAGAATAGAAACTGCATTATTACCTTATAACCTCTGATGTGTTTCCTGTTTAATTTGTAACGGTGTTCATCTTTGGGCTTTTTTGGAAAAAAGCCCTGTTTATCTTTCTCAAATCAATAATGTTATCGCTAAGTGGAGTAATTGCATTTCCTAAAGTGCTGTTTATCAGACTTGATTACAAAAACAGGAGTGATGCATTTATTTGTAAGCCTGTTTCGGATTGTTTTACAAGATAAACAACAATTTAATTTAAAACACTAGTCCCCGCAGGATGATGCTGTGGTTGATCCAGAGCAAGGTTTCTCAACAACTACTGGCCAGATTCTTCTATCTCTTAAGGTCATTCACAATTTCTTCTGATGAATTTGAGATTTTCTCAAGCGCATGGGAATAGGTCAACACTTTTTTTTAGGATGTAGGTCAGTGTGGAGGTTAAAATAAAAAGGTAAAATGTATGATGTATCAGGAAATGTATGATCCTTCACTTGATGCTGTAAAAGAAAAAAACTAGCTTTCTCATTGTCTACCTCAGAAAACCACTCATTCTAAATGAGCAGGAAAAAATGAGTGATTACCAGAGCTTGTTAATACGCAAATAACGATCAACTCTTTACATTTTAATGAACGTGTTGTCCTTCCTCATGTGCTTAGTTCTTTTCCTGGTACAGCTCCAAGAAAAACATCCCATAGTGTCCAACATGTAATGACACCATACTCACTTAGTCTTGGTTATTAATCGTGTCTCTCTCACACACACTCATCTTGTGAATGAGCTTATGAGTTAGACTGATATATTAGCTGGCTAATTTAATGAGACAATAGTGGGCTTTAATTAAACATCAGATATATAACACTATCACATACTGCCAGTAGAGTGAGGCTTCTACCTGACCACCTTTACATAAAAACAGCCTGTAAACCTGCAATTTAGTATTCTCTGTACATTGAAGTTCTCATTTTCAGCAATTCAGTTCAGTAATGCTATGTTGGCTCTGTGTAAATATAGTGTACGGTTTAGACCTGCTCTGTATGAAAAGTGTCTGAGGAGTGCAAGCTATTCAAATAAAACTTTTTTTTTTAAACTAGATGATTAAAGCTTTACAAGTTTTCCAAAGGCTGTGTTGAATCCTGAAATGTCTTATCTACCAGATTTAAAATAGTTTTTACATTCACACGAATATGGGTTTATATGGAATTTTGAACTTTTTACAGTAGAAAAATTAAGAAATATATCTAAGATGCAGGAATAAAAACGTTATCTTTAGTAAGGGCTTTGTGAACTTTTGTCGCATGGAAAATAGAGATTAGAAACTACAGGCATCACACCAGTATCTCACTACGCTGATTATCTGCGCCCGGGCCCAGAACCGAGAAGACAAAACGCGTATCAGTGTAAAACAAAGTGCATCTCCCTAAGGCGGCAAGATATTGAAAATGAAACAGGCGAAAGCACAAAGCCCAATGGAACCTTACGTGAAGCGTTTCAGATTTCTGCCGATATTAACATTCAGTTAGGGTGTGTAATGTTCTGCTTCTTTATATTTGTCTGCCTCCGACTCGAAACCATTATAGCTTTCTGCTCCTCGCCATTTCCTCTGGGTCGCTGGGCAGATAGAGTTGGGGTGTGCCCGCACGCAGAAGCACACACAGAGAGACACACAAAGTTAAATTAACACAGCAGTATGTATTCAGAAGCCCCAGTCACCACGGCCTGCTATTTTCCACGGTTCATGTTTGTCTCTCTGTGTCTCCTGATACGGCTCTCTACAGTATCCGTTGTGTGTGCGTCGAGTTAAGAATCATTTCTTCTTCTTCAGGCTAAAAAGTCAATACCCCCAAGGGTAATTTCTAGTCGTAACCCACCGTTTCTTCACCACCAGGCGTGTGTGACTGTGGCATTAGGCGGTGTAGTAAAAATCTTAGATATATCATGAGTCACACATGAAAAACACACGCACAGGCCCAATTAAAAACAGTCCTACATCAACTTGGAATAAGACTACATGTGATGTGACTTGTGAAATGTACTGTGCTCATTCTTTTCTGCTTATATCATAGATAATATAATATTTCACACAATACAATATTTAGCATGTGTTAGTTTGCTTCTACGGTTATCAGACTTGAAAAACACATCCCTAACCCTGACCCTAATTTTA